TAAAAGGACATGTGGGTGGGGTTTAAAGGAGTGGGCGTGGCCTGGAGGCACCGTTTAAAGGGGTGGGCGTGGCCTAAAGGGCTCTGTGCCCATAAAAGGACATGTGGGTGGGGCTTAAAGGGGTGGGCGTGGCCTGGGACTGAGGGGCGTGGCCTGTTTAAAGGGGGCGTGGCCCCACAGCCTTAATAGCCACAATGGGCGTGGTTTAGTGGGTGGGCGTGGCCTAAATGAATTAATAACCACGATATGTGGGATTTAGAGGGGTGGGCGTGGCCTGTGCGTGAGTGGGCGTGGCCTATGCCCCAAAATCAGGGGTGGTTTATAGGAGTGGGCGTGGCCAGAACAGGCGAATAGTGGGCGTGGTTTAGAGTGGCGGGCGTGGCCTGTGGCTGGGCCACTGTAAATGGGCGTGGCCTAAATCTACCACTGATTGCAATGGGCGTGGTTTAGAGGGTGGGCGTGGCCTAAACTAATTGTTATTCACAATGGGCGTGGCTTAAGTGAGTGGGAGTGGCCTAGAGGGGAATGGGCGTGGTCTGACACAGAGTGGGCGTGGTCAGTGACAGAACGGGAGTGGCCAAAACTCATTAATAGCCACAAAATGGCGGATTTGGGTGGGTGGGCGTGGCCTGGCAGGGGTGGGCGTGGCCTGGGCGGGGTGGGCGTGGCCTACCTGCGCCTTGAGCCCCAGGCTGAGCCCCGCCCGGTGCTGGGGCCGCAGCAGCGCCGGGGCCCCGCCCCCCACGGCCTCCAGCAGCGCCAGGAGCCGCCCCCAGCCACGCCCACCGGGGCCACGCCCACCGGGGCCACGCCCACCCGGGCCACGCCCCCTGAGAGTCCACCAGGCCCCGGCCAGGGCCAATCGGAGCGAGGGGGCGGGGCTGGGGGAGAGAGTGGGGAGAGAGGGGTGAGAGACCAGTACGGACCAGTACGGACCAGTATAAACCAGTACGGACCAGTACGGACCAGTATGGACCAGTATAAACCAGTATGGACCAGTACGGACCAGTACGGACCAGTACGGACCAGTATAAACCAGTATAAACCAGTATGGACCAGTACGGACCAGTATGGACCAGTATGGACCAGTACGGACCAGTATGGACCAGTACGGACCAGTACGGACCAGTACGGACCAGTATAAACCAGTATAAACCAGTATGGACCAGTACGGACCAGTATGGACCAGTATGGACCAGTATGGACCAGTACGGACCAGTATGGACCAGTATGGACCAGTACGGACCAGTACGGACCAGTATGGACCAGTACGGACCAGTATGGACCAGTACGGACCAGTATGGACCAGTATGGACCAGTATGGACCAGTACGGACCAGTATGGACCAGTATGGACCAGTATGGACCAGTACGGACCAGTATGGACCAGTACGGACCAGTATGGACCAGTACGGACCAGTATGGACCAGTACGGACCAGTATGGACCAGTACGGACCAGTATGGACCAGTATGGACCAGTA